CGTGCTTCCGAGCAATTTAATAAAGCTTATGAATAAATAAAGTAAAATATAGAAAAATTAGTGAGACACTCCACCAAGAGATGGCATCACATGTCATTTATATCGCAATAGGGTTTTATAGATTTCAAAATGATAAACTTCAGGCTTTCAATGTCTAAAATGTTTTTGAAGTTGTGTAATTATCGACATTATTTTTGCTAACTCTCGGGTTTTTAATTAAATGCCGAGAGTTTTTTGTCCGATGATCCGACATGATTTTATAGAGTGTCTTATGTCGCCTCTACACGTTGGCCAACACAGTGACGAATGTAGTGGCGAATATATTGGCCAAGAGTTGGTGACGGCGTCCACACGTTGGAAGGTCGTTCAGTTTACTTCGGTTTGGGCCAATGTGCGGATGAATTTATTTTATATTAGACGACGGCTCCGTGGCGCAGTGGCTTGGCAATGAGTGGCTGTGCCAGGGGTCGCGGGTTTGAATCCCGCACGGAACAAGTATTTGTATATGCTACAAATAATTGTTTCGGGTCTGGATGTGTGTCCTTGTGCAATTTATGTTTGTAAGTTGCCTCCGCGATACAGGAGAAAATCCAAGTGTGGGGGGTAACGTTTTTATAAAATAATTATAAAAGAATAGTGAATATTAATGGGGCTGTAAATAGATATACGATATACGATTAGCTTTATTTATTCTTTACATGCATCAGAAACTGAAATAAATACCATTAATTAGAACTTAACTTATTTAAAAAGTTAAAGGAGTTATAATCGATTAGACAATGTTTTAAAATTGGGTTTTGTTTTTAAAGTTTAGCAAAACATGTACTTGCTTTTCTATCAGACATTTGATGTATATAAAAACACCTTATAATTTATTTGGTAATTTAATTATTTTTTGAGAAAGACAAAAACAATAGCAATAAATATAATTAACACTGACTTAATAATATGTACTGATTATAACTTAGAACGTAAATGAAAAACTCATGACAAGGAAAGTGGCTCAGGACCATGCTTTGCGGCATTCTTTGGAGGAGGATGTTCAGTAGTGGACTTGTGAAGAGCTGTAATGATGATGATGATTCGAAAACTTGCACGATTAAATTATAAGAAATCGACGCTTTTTTATATAGGATAGGGCGACAAATGAGCACACAGTTCACCTGATGGTAAGTGGTTGCTGTGGCCCACAGACATCTACATCTATCCTCGATTACGAATCAAAATGCAGATGCGTTGTCACCTGTGAGGACTAAGATGAAATGCCTCGTTTCCTTTAAAAAGTGTCTCTGGTTCTCTACACTCACTATACAAAACACAGCATCCTTAAGCTACTATTTTATATTGATATTCTGTGAGAGCATGGTCCTTCCCCGGTCGAACCGACCCATTCGTGCTACAACTACACTTCTAATATAACTGCATGGTTCTACCACGTATAAACGACGTGCTTTATTTTTTTTTCATTTTAAAATTGTTCTCGTAATAATCTGAAAATAAATGTTCATTATTTTTTTATAAATAGCTTATCGATTAAAACAAATGTTTTAATCGATAATTAAATCGCGCTAATTAAAGTAGTAGGAATGTTTAAAGTTGAAATTGGCACTAAAAGGCTGGTAATTGGGTCATCCACCCTACAAAGCGTGAATATAAAATTTTAATCAGATGTGTGTAATCACTCTGGGGGCTTGTAGCAAACTAAACTCGCGGCCAACGTGTGGACGCGGCGACCAAACTCTGCCAACAATCTTTTGATCTTTTGTAAAAAACCGACACCACACGGATCTCGCGCCAACTTGCGGGCCATCGTTCCAATACATACCAATGAAGCCCAAACACCCCGTCTACACGTTGGCCAATGCTATTGGCCACTACATTCCCCACTGTGTTGGCCAACGTGTAGAGGCGCCATTATAGAAGTGGCCAACTCGGAAAAATTACAATTCGAGTTGAAACGAGTCTCGCAACTCGAATTAGCAGGACAAACTACTTTTTTAAATTTGTTTTTCTGTCTAGCTCTTTGGTGGGTTGAGATAAATAAAATTACATTTTTTAGTACTAAACTTAGTATACAGTATTTTACGGCGCCTCTACACGTTGGCCAACACAGTGGCGAATGTAAAGGCGAAGATATTGGCCGAGAGTTTGCGACGGCATCCACACGTTGGAAGGTCGTTCAGTTTACTTATATTCAGACGAATTTTTAGGTGACGGCTCCGTGGCGCAGTGGCTTGGCAATGAGTGGCTGCGCCGGGGGCCGCGGGTTCGAATCCCGCACGGAACAAGTATTTGTATGTCCTACAAATAATTGTTCCGGGTCTGGATGGGTGTCCTTGAGCAATTTATGTTTGTAATATACAGGAGAAAATATCCGCGATACAGGAGAAAATCCAAGTGTGGGCTAACGTTTTTATAAAATAATTATAAAAGAATAGTGGATATTAATGAGACTGTAAATAAATATATGAAATACCATTAGCTTTATTTATTCATAAACTGGAATAAATATCATTAATTATAACTTAACTTATTTTAAAGTTAAAGGAGTTATAATCGATTAGTCTATGTTTTAAAATTGGGTTTTGCTTTTTTGTAAGACATTTGATTTACACAAGAAACACCTTATAATTTTATTTGGTAATTTAATTATTTTTTCAGGAAGACAAAAACAATATGAATAAGTATAATTAACACTCACTTAATAATAGGTACTAATTATAACTTAGAACATAAATGAAAACCTCATGACAAGGAAAGTGGCTCAGGACCATGCTTTGCGGCAGTCTGTGGAGGAGGATATTCAGTAGTGGACTTGTGAAGAGCTGTAATGATGATGATGATTCGAAAACTTGCACGATTAAATTATAAGAAATCGACGTTTTTTTATAGGATAGTGTGACAAACGAGCACACAGTTCACCTTATGGTAAGTGGTTACTGTGGCCCACAGACCTACATCTATCCTCGATTACGAATCAAAATGCAGATGCGTTGTCACCCGTGAGGACTAAGAGGAAATGCCTCGTTTTCTTTAAAAAGTGTCTCTGGTTCTCTACACTCACTATACGAAACACAGCATCATTAAGCTACTATTTTACGCTGATATTCTGTGAGAGTGTGGTCCTTCCCTGGTCGAGCGGACCCACTCGTGCTACAACTATACTTCTAATATAATTGAATAAGTTGAAATTGGCACTAAAAGGCTGGTAAGTGGGGCATCCACCCTACAAAGCGTGAATATAAAATTTTTATAAAATGCGTATAATCACTCTGGGAGCTTGTCGCCTGAGCTTGTTGCTTGACGCTCTTTACAGAATTTTGATTTGTTATTATTAATAATAATAAGGTAATGCCAAATCCAGCACTAATATACACTTGGCTTAGGCCCGTACTATTATTAAACCGGTAAAAGCCGAGATATGAAAGTAAACAACATAATCATAATAATAAATCATTTTATTTTTCTCTTCACAAACACACACACGTACAAACGTATGTTGTGTGTAAACGCACAACATACGTTTTAACCTTTGGGAGAGACTGGTGTCCATACTAGGGTATAATCCCTGTGTTATAGATCACCAGGCCCTCAACCTAACGGATACCACGTATTACATTTTTAAATATACTACAAGAGAAATACAAGAATAAGAAATATTTCAACAAGGAAAGATTCTATGTTTTCTAAGTTATTTCTATATATTATGTAATATTGTGTATGAGTAAGCGCGCGCGCGCGTGTGTGTGTGTGTGTGTGTGTGTGTGTGTGTGTGTGTGTGTGTGTGTGTGTGTGTGTGTGTGTGTGTGTGTGTGTGAGTGTGTGTGTGTGTGTGTATGTGTGTGTGTGTGTGTGTGTGTATGTGTGTGTGTGTGTGTGCGTGTGCGTTTGTGTGTGAGTGTTTTGGTAGAGAGTAAATTGATAAAAGTTTATTTAATTTATTATAAAGGTAACCTCCCAGGAATCATAAATGTTTATGCAAAAGTTTTGTCTTTAGAAGCTTACTGGGGAAACTAAATATTTCTTTCTTTTGTCATTATTATAGTACTCTAGGATACTGTTTATGAGAATGTTGTAGCAGCGTAGTGTGCAATATAAACAATTTACGAACAGATAAGACATTACACTGTTGATAAAGGTCAGTTGTAGGACAACGGAATGGAAGAGAATTGCTAACTTTTAATAGTGCCCTCTGTGCCATTTCTAATTGCAATATGGTCGTTTTATTGTAAAGTCTTATTAAAAAATTACCTTTTCAGTGTCTATTACTAAATTACATCATCATCAATAGAGCGCCACAAGGACCTTACGATATTTAAATGCATCTTACATAAAATTCTAAATACTAAGATTGCACTTAAACTACTCCATACTATTCCATAAATATGTGTACGTGTATAAAGTTTTGATACATACAGATCACATAATGTCATACATGTTGGCTTATATGTTGACATTTTCGGGATTTACAGCATCCTTAATCTAAGTTAGGCAAGAAATTGTGCTATTGATTATAAAAACAACTAAAAGCGATATGTATTCTAATGTATTAGCAACATTATACTTGCCAACAATCAATACACGAATTAAAATACGTAATATAAACTATAATAATAGCCTTAAATAAAATAGGGGAAAAGACAGCGAATATAAAACGAGGCGAGCCAGCACGATTCACATAATATGTTATACAATATAATTAATAATAATTTTTATAATAAAATGTCGCTATGAGATGCGTATAATTACGTCACAGGTCACAAAGGTCGTTGTAAAAAAAAACTAAAATTGATATAATTAACCGTTTAAAAATTCTATAAAATTAAATTGGACATTGTCAATATTTAGTTGTGAAGTCTCAAATTTTTCAATGCTTGTTTTTATGACATCGCCTACAGCGGCCGTATTGCCATAAAATATATCTGTCAAAATTTAGATTTTTATTTTTATTTAGGCGATAAGTATACGCATCTCCCGTAACGGCAATAAGTCTGTTATATTCAAGGATCGACGAAGGAGATCATGATGTAGCGTGTGCCGTTTGTGACCAGCAGATCCTCGTAGTAATGCGAAAGGCAGCCAGGGTGCATAAGAAGCCAGCCCGGCTTTGTATTCCGGACCGAGCAGTTATAGCGAAGGAAATGGCAACCACCGCCTTCGTAGTCCATATCTGTAAGTAAATAAATTTTTTGATAAATAATGTTAAAACAATGTAACTAACGTAATCATGCGTGATGCAAACATTTTGTAGCCCTTTTCAAGCATTTTGTGCTCAACGAGGATTGAGAGATTTGGGAGTGCAGAAATCTAAAATGTCTATATAATACGTGTTAAAATTAAATTGAATAAAGCATTGATTGGTGTCAAACACACAATAGTCTGTGGGCAAACGTTCGCACATAGTATAAGACTATCAATATTTTGAGGTACCTTTTACACTATAACCAAAGAATTTTAAAATATTGCCAACAAATTTAAAATTACTAAGTATCCGGTTGACCGAGCTTTGCTCGGTATTTTTCACTCGGTTTTTTTTTTAATTCGTATGTTTTGGAAATTATATTTAGATACAAATTTACATACTTATGAAATACGAATGATATTTTTTGATCTTAGCGACATAATAGAAAAAAAAATGAACTGGTTATTTGAATAAAAAATCATGAGTGCAATTAGTTTAATTTAAATTTTCGTGTTTTTAAAAAAATACTAAAAAAGGGCTCGAAAAAATAGACTTTCCAAAAAAAGAAAGGAACTTGAAAAAAAAAATTAAAAAAAGTCAGTCGGTCGGTCTGGGCTCGAACCATGGTATTACGATTTTGTGACCGCCCAATATACTGTCAAAATTTACCTTCTTATTCTAACGATATTGTAGCAGTTTTTCATTGCCTAAAACACGGACAAAAAGACATTTTCTAAAAATAAATCCTAGCTAGATTGATTTATTGCCCCCGAAACTCCCTCCACACAAACATTTTATGAAAATCGTTGGAGCCGTTTCCGAGATTCCGATTTTATATATATATATATATATATATATATATATATATATATATATATATATATATATATACATATATATACAAGAATTGCTCGTTTAAAGTTATAGGATTAATTTTGTGTCATTTCAAATGTTCCTTTTTCAAAAGACTGTGGAGTGTATATCAAGGCAAAAAGTATTTATTTAATATTTTGTTAAAGTTACAGCCTATATTCGTCCCACTGCTGGGCACAGGCCGCCCTCATTTCTGAGAGAGTTTTAGGGCAAGGAAGTGTTCGCCGCGCTGCCCAAATGCATGTTGGCGAACTTCATGTCTTCAAAATATTTTTTTTCCTTATTCCTTCGACATGCAGGTTTCCACGATATTTTCCTTCACCGCCGAGCACGTAGTAAATCAGCACTTGTAATTGCAGTTAACAATGTCATTGGTGCCTCATTGGCTTGATTTTCATTGGTTGGATCGAACCCGGGTTACTCGCGTTTTGTATTTACAGCGAGCGTTAACCATCTGACCTACCACGATATATTTTTGTTTAAACTGGCAGTTGAAAGTAAAATATAAGTTGCTTAATATACAAGCGAAATTCGACGTATAGACAAAGTAAAAAAAGTATCAAATTAATACGACTAAAAGTAAAATATAAAAAAGGATATGAAAAATGAGAGGTAATATTTTATAGCATTAGATGACAAACGAGCACACAATCCACCTGATGGTAAGTAAATGCTGTGGCCCTTAGACATCTACAATTATTCTCAATTAAGAATCAAATTTCAAAATACGTTGTCACCCCTGAGGACTAAGATAGAATGCCTCGATTCCAGTAAAAAGGGTCTCTGGAACTCTACACTCACACCATACCATACGAAACACAGCAGTATTAAGTTACAATTTTACGCTGGTATTCTGTGAGAGCGTGATCCTGCCCCGGCTGAGCCCACCAATTCGTGCTACAACTATAATATAGCTAAAGCGTGGCTCTACCACGTGGAAAACGAGAATTATTACTAGAATCTCGCCAGTTAAACACTAAGATTGAATAATGAAGCCTATTAAACCTCACATAAAGTATGATTTTGCATGTACTGGATCGACGTTATTATACTTACGGGATGTGTTGAGGGCCAAGTTAATGGTGTAGGTGGACGAATCCTGATGCGGCCTCAACGATGGCTGCTCGTCGGGACGATATCTAACCACGAAGTTCATAATGGAAACTGGTGGCTGTAAGCAGACAAGTTTACGCACTAAGCAATCTAATTTAATATAATATGTACTACTTGTGAGATACATTGTGTTTTCTTGCGATTGCCAAGTCAATCTTTATATTTAAAACATAAAAGATTTTTAACATTGATATGGTCACTATAAAATGTTGTTAGGTTAGCTAATTACGTAATAATTTAAAACAGAAGGGCCCTTAAGTAGGGACTGAATAAATTAACCGACTTGGTATTACATGGATTTCACTACTTTTTAAGGTAGAAGAACTGAGTTGCGAGACTTGGTTTTTTTACAAGTTATGTTTTTGATGGCATCTCATTTCTTTTTGTAGATAAGATAGTCTACTTTTTTACTTTCCAGTATCTTCTACTTCCTGAATGCCAACAACGTACCTATCTACACCTATTATACGTATACAAGTACACTGATTCATTAACTGCAAATGTAACTTTGTAATTCTATATATTTATATAGGATTACAAAGTTATTTGTGCAGTTGGTATATCTAGAAAACTGGACCGAAATTAAAAAGTATTTTAGTTTTTCCTTGATTTATACACTAAACACTAATTGTGTTCTGAATTTGAAGCTTCTATGTCTGCTAGAAGTGCCTTAGACTTTTGATGATCGGTCAGTCAGTGAGTGACAAAATTAAGAAACTTTGACTAGTTATACTTCTTAAACTACTGGTTCAAATTGAATGAAATTTGAAATATATCATGATTATACAATGTATACTCGTTATCTGAAAATTCAGGCTTCTAGTTTTATCCTCTACGAAGTTATAGAGGGTCGAAAATGGCCTGAATTGCTTCGAGAAAAGTATAGCGTTGCGCTGGTTTTCGGCCTTTTAGTGGAGTTGTCAAATTTAAGGTGCTATAAAAAATAATAGCGATTACGTTGACCTAGTGTTGTTAATGTTAATTTATAGCTTATATAATGTAGTTTTCATTTTGATAACTCATTGATGCTACAAAAGAAATCTATATTTTATAATAAATTTTGATGTGAAAAATATGCAAAGCGAACTACTACTACTAACCGAAAACTAGTTCGGCCCCAAATTTTAGATTTCGGCCTACAAGAATTTTAGTTTTCGGCCACTGTATTAGAAGAGGTACTATAAACTTAAAAGTGTTTTTGTAAAATCAGAAAATGGCAAAAAGGTTTGGGGAATCGGTGTATTTAGTTTTCTCAATCGGTGATTGCGATTTTTTAATCGTGACGTTATTTTTTTTCTTTTTGGGTGTGTTTTTGATATAAAATAATAACCATGATTAATTATTTCTCTTTGAATCATAATCTAATAATAAAATCTTTTAAATATAGCAATCAAATATTCTCATTTACGAGTATTTTGTACTTCCTCATAAGTATTTTAGTTTAACAAAATGTGTTACCATCTCTAATCAAGAGGAGCCATCTGAAGAAAAAAAATTCTTATTGAATCTTCTTCCTAAAACGCAATGTGAATAAAATATTTGATATGATAAGATGAAATGGCCTAAACGTAAACTAAGACAGCATTCCATTTTCCGCCACCGTATTCTTTCATACAATTTTAAGTTGGCCGAAAACTAAATTGTAATTATTTTAGAGTCAATCCAGTTTTCGGCCACGACCGAAATGGGTATTTTGTTTCATCACTAACTGTTCAAATTGTAGTACTTGGTGGCCGAAAACTGAAAGTTAGTGTCTACGCACGCTACGATTCAATATAAGTAAGAAAAATGAGTTATAGTACGTAACCAAATAAACGAAGGAGACAAAGTATTTAGGCTAAACTCAGGCTACTTTTCGGCCGCATGGCCGACAACCAAATAATAGGACAATTTTATGTGTCACTTTTCGGCCAATTAATTTATTAACTTTATCAATAAATTATTATAATAATCAGTGTCAAATAACTATATTAGGTTATTTATACAGTGAAATATAAGCACAATATTAAGTAATTATATTAAATACAGCACGAAACTTACTTTTGAATGGAACGATCGCCACTATTTTTTTTTTTGCTCGATCTTACCCGTTTTGATAGCTTCAGTGTCGGCGTCAAACTAAACTATTTATTATAAATCGCGTGTTGTGTTTACCTGATTAATTAATGCTACCAGATATAGTGAAACTATTAACAAATGCATTAAACTGCATTTCATACGATAATATTTATTAAAATTGTTATTAAATCAAATTTACTGCATCAGCTCGTGCCAAAGGTCGAAATCTAGACCCGGCCGGCTTACCGGCGCATCGACCCTACGGCCGTGCCGCTTTTTTACTCGACTTGGCGGGGGCACTGCCGTGCCCCCAGATAATATTAAACAGATATTCGATATGCAATAAAAAGACAGTACTCAGGAAAGTCTGCAATATGTTATAATATTCAGGATCTTCCCAAATATTATATCAGATTTGATAGACAAATGATAGAAATTAAAAAAAAACATCCGAATTTCAGCAGAGGTGATTACTGGGTGCTACCATTTGCTTGAGACCCCATGGTTAATAAAATTAAATTCAAGTATCTTACAGTATAAACTCGTTCTGCGTAGATCAGATAAATCATTATACATAAATAATAATGTAAGTACGTGTACCGTAGTAATCAGGGGACAAGAGCTCATTTTAAAATGTCAGAGTACGTTTGTTCTCTTCCGGAACCAATGAAGTCAACTGTTTGTAGTGCTAGTTGACTATGTGATCGACGTTTATGTTGAGTAAAGTGTGTTGAATATCGTACCTGTTGAGTGAAGTACGTTGAAAATGTTGAGTACCGTATGCGTGTTGAATACAACAGATATAATATGTTAAAGAGATTCACACACTACTCAGATCAGATAATTATATTTGTATCAGAACGCATCTCTTTCAATATGGTTGTCTATGAAATTAACAATTCGATGAACTTACACAACTTGATAATATATATTTTATCGTTAAGTACAGACATATATTGAAACATGGTGACATGGTTGCTTATGCAAATATTTTCTGCAGATATCATCTGCAAATACAATATTTTATAATATATACAAAATATATATATTTAATAATTACAAAAGGAGAATGACCAAAAGTGGTACGAAAAAGTCTCACACATCAAGACTAAATTTTAATAGTAATTAGTGTCATATTATATTAGAAAAATCAAATCCCTGGACGCGTAATGTTACGGCATTACGCGTCCAGGGATTTGATTTTTGAACAGGGATTTTTTTTAGTTTAAAAGTATGGATATTTTATTTTTTTATTTAACGGGTTCTACGGCTCTGGGTTCTAGCCCTTCTGAGCTTATCATTTCTTTCGGAATCTTCATTTTTATATATTTTTTCTTCACTATATGCTGCCGCGTCACATTGCGAAGTTTTTGGAGATTTTGATGACAGCTGATGACGACAGCCACTCAAGTTCATAAGGAGCCCAAGCGATCAAAATAACTTGAGGTTTATATCGACATCAAAGCACTTCTTTCGTCGTTTTCTCTAATAGTTTACACGCGCAGACACTTAATTCACAAAATAGCATCATTTTTACGAATCAAAATCAACTACAAACCATTATTGAAGCGACAAAATAGGAGCGACAATCCGTCAACGGTCAAGTTCCCGCCAAAAAAACCGTATGGATATTGTTTTACATGGAGAATGGAGTGGTTGAGCTGTCGTCAAATTCTCCTAAGAACTTCGCAATGTGACACATCAGCATATTGTGAACAAAAAATATATAAAAATTATGATTCCCAAAGATATTATATTCTGAGCCGTAAAGTCAGTTAAATAAAAAAATCCTATAAATTACGTTTATAGTGCATCTGATACTAATTTGTGGTGAAACACTACGCATACGCACTATCTTTGTTATTACAAACAAAACTGTCCGTGTTTTTGAGAGTTGAAATTAGTTAGTTATTGAATTGTGTGTTGAGAAGGAGAACTTGTTAGTATTTTCTGAACTTTTTTCCATATATTTAATTGTGCAAGTATATCGAGTCGTGGAGTCGACCGATTGACACCGTCAGTTACCCGGCATAACAAACGATGTATCAATTGTTCGTTTTTGATACCCAGAAACGTACCTACACCTACACATTCATTGGTGACACTGTCGTGGATAACTCCTACTGAGGTAAGCAGATCTTATTCTACTCTTTGAATATATACCTAAGAAATCAGATCTCTACCATCGTACCGTCTTGAAAAACATTTTATAGGATGATGATTAACAAAAACAGACCTGTTTGAGGCCAAAAAAAGCTTTACTCCTGATTACATATAGATGTAACTTCTGTTAATATGTTACAGAAGACAGATGTCAAAAAAGGTCAAAAACACAATATTTAATTCATGGTTTTTATTGTAGTTGTCTTCAGAATGCGTGCAAGTACAGAGTGTTTGGCACTGCTTCAGAAGATCAAGCAAACACAGTTAGTGAAGGATTGCCTGCTTTTGGTCATAGAAGTGTATGTTTTAATTGTGGCAATTCTATTCTACGTGCAACTAGAACATATCCCGTAAGACAAGATCGACAAGAGAGAAACACAAGTAATTAAACGCGATAAAATCCGTAAATAATAGTTTTATTCAAAGAGAGAAACATTTTAGTTAGACATGTTCCGCTGCATCTGGTAAATATTTTTATTTATGTTGCAATACAAAAAAAAAATCAACTTCTTACTCATGTTCTTATGTTGTACAGTCTTCTATAGTTTTAAGTTATAATACTGTAATTAGATGTGTTTATAAAATTGAGTCCCAATAAGTGAAGGTTTCACAAATAAATAATGTTGTGGATATAAAATGATATTGTGACGCGCCTAAGTCGACGGCACTAGCGCCATCTAGTGTCAGAGACGAGAGCGAGGGGAGCTTTCCGGAGGATGACATCACTAATCTTTCAACCGACAGTGCCATCTATTCCCGAACCGAAGAACTAAACTTCTCGAAGTTGAAACTCGAACTCTCGATACCTTGCGCGTGTTTACTTGAATATTCTGGATA